TTTAGGGTTTAGGGTTTAGTTCCCCATTTCTGAAACTCCCGGATCAATCACCAAACCGTCGACGGCCCCACCCAGGCACAAAACCGTAATATAGAGCTTAAATTATTACCTATACTATAGGCCCCTACATGAAGCAGCCAGAACCCACCCTGAAGCCAAGGTGCAGGCATTCCGGCCAAGGCCATCAAGAATGCTTCCACCAGTCACCCAGGCTTCTTGGACGCTTTGGGTTTAGGGTTCAGGGTTAGGGTTTAGGTTTAGGGTTTGGGACTTAGATAAGATGGCATTTTTCGTAGAAGTAGCAGTGCTTATCAGACGACCAGCAATCACGGTGCTAGCAACAGCGTCTGGCTGACTTACACTTATAAGACTTGTAACAGTTCACAGTACAGTACTGGTCGCAAGAACAGTAGTTTAACCCTAAACCCAAAGCCCTTAAGCCCTACCCTGCGGTTCATGGAACCCCATAGTGAAAGCCCAAACCTTAGCCCCCAAGCCTAAACCTTCCCCTAGAAAGCCCAGAACAGCAATAAGAGCCTTAGGGTATACTATAGTTATATAGGAACTTAGGAACTATCTAGAGCTTTTCGGGTATATTATACTAAAGTTATATAGGAACTCTCCGGGAAGGTGACGGATAGTAAAGGCTCTAAGCCCTCCAGACTCTAGGGAGAGAGAACGAGGGAGTACCCTTTCATTCGTTGGGGATTTAGGATCCACGCCCCCTAGATCATCATAACTGTAACAACAATAATAAAAAGAAGAAGAACAAGAACGACAATCATAATCTACCACAGTATTCATGACAATCTTAATAATAAGAATCCCTATGCAAGCCCTAAACCCTAAACCCTAAAGGTAAGGTGCATCAACGGGTGCTGGGTTCCCTGGGCTCGTTGGCTTCAGCGAAGGAGTCCTTTCCTGCGTGGAAACCTGGAGACGAACCCTTATACCTTGGTAAGCTGAGTTTAGGGAGATGGCACAAGAGCGAAGGAGAGAGAGAGAGAGAGAGCGAGCGAGAGAGAGAGAGAGAGAGAAAGAGCGAGAGAGAGAGAGAGAGAGAGAGAGAGAGAAAGAGAATGAGCAAGATAGAGAGAGAGAGAGAGAGATATATATATATATATAGAGATATATATAGAGAGAGAGAGAGAGGGAGAGAGAGAGAGAGGGAGAGAGAGAAAGAGAGACAGAGAGAGAGAAAGAGAGGGAGATGGAGATATATATATATATATAACAAGTTACTAAGCTTTTTTGGGCCAGGGAGCTCAGCTAGCAGCACCCTACTCCGGTGAACCATGCGCAGCTGCGTCCAGCCAAGATTCACCACCATCACCTGCGCCGGAGTCACAAGAAAGCACCACGAGCTGCTTGGTGCCCTTAGTTCCTTACTACCCAGCCTTGAAACGTTTTGGGTTCTTATAACTTAGTACTAACCTGAAAGTTTAACTTGTTTAAGTGGCCGTAGCCCCAAGCCTGAACCCTAATCCCTCTGCGAAGCTAAATAGTTAGCTTATGTTAAATGTATGCAATCTGTATATGGTGTAATCGAGGTCTAAACGTAACTCTAGCTTCCTTACCTAGTTATCGAGTCCCCTGTTCCCAACCCCCAAACCCTAAACCACAGACCCGAACCTAAACCCTAACCCCCCCGGACACCAAACCCTAAACCCTAAACCCTAAGCCCTACAAGCCCTAAGTTGTGAGTCGGGTTGCGCTTTTGGTGCGCGCGACGGCGGGACGGCCGTGTGCGATTCATGGTGATTGTCCCATACCGGGGTTTGGTTCAGGGTTTAGGGATTCATGGTGATTGTCCCATACCGGGGCTTGAACGATTGCTATGGCATGAAACCAAGAAACAAAGATTCCTAGAGGGCTTGAAGGCGTTTGCTTTTTCTATTGCAGGCATCAGCTTAGTTCCCCAATACGCAACCTTTAAATTTTTTGGGTTGCAAAATAATGTAGTAGTCTTCCGAAATTTTCACCTTTTGTTTACCTGGATTATTGGGGAAGTAAGTCAGGGGGATTCATAAGTGGGATCATAAGTGGGGCAACCCTACTCCAAGTTCCTTGTATCTCTAAGCAAGACACCTTAGACCCTAAACCCTAAACCAAGCCCTAAACCCTAAACCCTAAACCCTAAACCAAGCCCTAAACCCTAAACCCTGGTATCTCTAAGCAAGACACCCATGGTCCGACTTTCGAAGTCGGATCCCTTTCGTAAAGGCTGCGGCCCGTAGAGGTAGAGTTTAGGGTTTAGGGTTTAGGATTTGTTCTTTGGTAGAGCGCTGCCAGGTTTAGGGTTTAGGGTTGGGCAGTGGACAGTAGAATTGAAGATTTGGCATTCAGGGCTTTGTGTTTGTGATGTGGCGTTGTCCCCTTGCAAAATCTAAACCCTGCAGTGAGGTTCTAATAACTGAACACCGCTGCACTCTTACTTGCTTACTAAAAGACCAAAACCCAGAACCATAAACTCTAAACCCTGAACCCTAAACCCTAACCCTTCAAGTTCCATGCCCCGATTTCAAAGGGGAAAATCCGAGCATGCGCGGCTCCCTATGTCAGTATCCTTACTCTCAGCCGCGTCTGCTTGTGCGGACTTAGTTCAAACCGTGCAAGAAAGGATAATATGGTTCAAAGGTTTATTGCCATTTATTGCCTAACAAACCCTACCAGATGCCCCGAAATCTTCTGAAACCCCCAAAGCACCCGATGCAACCTTCAACAATTACGGGCACAATTTAGGGTTTTGGGGCTCTTTTCCTGCCTATGGGAACCTTGTTATAAAAACATACTTAGCGAATAGGAGAACTTTAAACTTTTTGGCCTTATATATCTGATCTATTTGTAGAAAGTTCAAGCTTTTTTGGACTCGGTTGTTGACGGAGAGAGAAAACGCAAGGTAAGACACCCTCAACCCTAAAGAGCCTTACAAGAACCGCATAAGCCTCATGCGATCCCTGAAGACCAGGTCCTAAACTCTAAGTCAGGGTTTAGGGTGCTCTGGTGGTGGGAAGTTGGGAAGCTAGCAACCCAGAGAGCCCAATGGTGTCCGGAATCCTGGATTAGAGCCTCGTGCCGTTTATACGCCACACGTTTTGCTCTCATTTGGGCGACAGCCTCGGCGACAGCTCTCTTGCGAGAAAACTTTACCAGGCCATTGCGTCAGATGAGACAAACTGACTGAACGAATTGATTCGTCAGGCGGTTCGCCCGGCCAACGTCAAGAGGGCCATCGCCGAGCTCCGGGGCGACATGCTGGCCAAGACGACTCGGGGGCCATACGAGTCACGCCTCAAGACCTGGAACAGGCTCGCCTATGAGGGCGAGGTGGCTCCCTGGCCGCTCTCGGCGCACGTCCTCGAAGTCATCGGGGCGGGCTTCAAGAAGGGCGCCTACCGCAGCGCCAAGGAATACTTCCTAGCCGCCTTCCGGTACCAGGAGCACGAGCTTCGTATCGCCGTCGACCCGCTTCTGCGGCGCCTGGCTAATTAAGGTATATTCCTTAATTAAGGGTTTTGGGTTAAGGGATTTAGGGTACATGGGGTATTGGGCTCCCTGGGAAACTCATGGAACAGGCTTGGGACATCCCCGCTTAGGAAGACTCTGCCACCCAGGTGCACGGCCAGAAGAGGCATCGTGCGGCAAACACACAGATATAATTTGCCCGTTGTAAAGCTTTCAGCGAAAGCAAGGCTGCAACAAACATAGCAGGGTATGATAAAGTACATGCTATTGTTGTTAAAAACTTATTATGCTAAAGTATATAAGTATATTGGATAGTTACATGGGGAGCCCGATACCCCTCAGATAAGGAAGACACCTTAAACTATAGGATGCTCCGAAGCTTTTCCCTTAATTAAGGGGTATTGGGCCCTAAACCCCAAACCCTACACCCTACACCCTAAACCCTAAACCCTAAACCCATAGCTCTCTGATGGGAACCCCTTACGGACCTAAACCCTAAGCCCTAAACCCTAAACCCTAAGCCCTAAACCCTAAACCCTAAACCCTAAGCTCTAAACCCTACACCCTAAGCTCTAAACCCTAAACCCTAAGCCCTAAACCCTAAACCCTAAACCCTAAACCCTAAACTCTAAACCGAGCCCTAAACCGTTCTCCTAGGGGAGCTGGCGGCACCGACCTCGAGGCGAAAGGCCCGGCACTCCGTGGCAGGCTCCCTCTGGAAAGGGGGTTTGCAGTGGTTTATATATATATATATATATTTATTTATTTATATTTATTTATTTATCTATCTATTTATCTGAGATATGCATATATACATATATAAATATATACATACATACATACATACATACATACATGTATAAACATGTATATATATATATATACACATATACATTGCATAGAGGGTTTAGGTTTTAGGTTTTTAGGATTTAGGGTTTCGGGTTTTTAGGGTTCAGGGTTTGGGTTTTTTGGGTGTTTGGGGGGTCAAAGGGCTTTGGGGCTTCAGGGTTTCGGGTTTAGGGTTTCGGGTTCAGGTTTTGGGGTGCAGGGCTTCGGGCCTGAGTAATAATTTGCCAATTCATAATTATTTTATCTATATTATTATAATTTTATACATATAATTTTTTACATTATATATTATCTTAAAGAGGGTTCAGAGTTTGGGCTTTGGGGCTTACGGTTCAGGGCTTTAGGGTTTAAGGGTCTAGGGGTTTAGGGTTTTAGGGTTTAGGGTTTAGGGGCTCTTGTAAAGGCTTTCTACAGGGATCCTAAGTAGATGGGGCGCTCTGCGCGGCGTCGAGGGGGGAATGACCTTCTCTCATCTCTCATGGCACAGCTATGTATACTGTAGATCATAGGGTTATGTTCTAAAGTTAACCCTAAACCCTAAACCAAGGGAATTGCAAGTCCAATAGTCGCAAAAGCCGGCCTCCAACTGATTGAACCCCAAGACATCTAGAAGTCCTTCAGTTGCTTATGAATGGCGTGGGCTCATTCTAGCATGTTTCCGTTGCATATGAAATTCTACCTATCATGGGCTCATTCTAGTATGTTTCCGTTGTAAATGAAGTTCTACCTATTGTGTTATATTCGGCTTTATTCGGTTATATCATATTTATGGTTTTAGTTGAAGATGCTTGAACTCAGGGTTCAGGACTTGAGAAGACATGTGTCCATATGTATATATATATATATATGTACAGGAATATAGAAATACATAGATAAACTACATACGTGACAAACGTAGGCTGCGTCCGTAAACCCTAAACCCTAAACCCTAAACCCTAAGCCCTAAACCGTAAACCGTCAAGGTTTGGAGTTTCGGGTTGAGGGTTTCGGCCTTCGGAAGCAGGCTTAGACTTCAGCGTTGGGGGTTTAGGTTTACCAGGCCCCCCCCAAGGGGCCCCTTAGAAGAGCCCTTCTGGTCCTCGCTGGTGGGTATTTAGGGTTTAGGGTTTAGGGTTTAGGGTAGAATAGAGGGTAATGTAGGGGCCTGAAAGATTACCAATACTATTTGGGGGGGTTCCGTGTTATAATTCTAGTATAATGGGCCCCAAAGCCCTATTCTCATTACCAAGGCCCCTGTATTAGTTGGGGGGTCTCGGTAGGTTGAGGTTGATAGGATTGATGGGGCTTGGGGCTCTTTGGGTCTTGCTGGCAGTTGCGTTCGGTGCTGGGCTGGAGTTGTGCCACAGCTTAGTAGGATCCCTGATTGTCCGTTAGTAATATGGGTAGTTCTCTGAAGCTTAGGTCCCCCAAATCGTACGGCACCCTTACTATAAGGACCCTGAATAAAACATAATGTAGACAACTACCCATATAGAAAATGTAGTACGACGTAATGTAGGGGCCTTCATAATTAGAATAGGTTTCGGGGCCTATTATACTAGAATTACAATAAGGAGCCCCCTCAAAATAGTATTGGTAATTGTTTAGGTACCTACATTACCCCCCAAAGGTTTTTCGAAGCATTAGAGCCCCCACCAGAAAGCCCAGTACCCCTTAAATCCGGAATACACCTGCAATTATGGGGCCTTAAAGGGATCTATAAGGGTTTAGGGTTTAGAAACATACCATAGATTATAGGGGCCCTAGTAATGTGATTTACGGTATATTCCTTCAATTAAGGGGTGCAGGTCCTGAACCCGCACATCCAAGCCTTACAATCTTGACCCCGAACCCAAAAACCCTCCTGGGCCGACGCCTCTTCGGCTTGCCGCCTAAGTCGTTAGAGGTTTATAGGGCTTAGAGTTTAGGGTTTACCTTAAGAACTCAAAACCCACTTTTTTGTAGGTTCTTATTATAGACCCTAATATGGGATTATAGGGACCCTACAAAAAAGTAGGTTTTGGATTCTTAAGGTAGAATTAGGGTGTAGAGCGGTTGTTTAGAGCTGGC